TCAGTACCTTCAGTAACTATTGAAGTTTTTCCAATTTTGCTGTGTTAATCTTGCTCAGCTGCCAACACCTTATTTGAACAAGTGATTATTCTTGTATTTTATGTTCAGTGGGGATGGTCTCTTTTGGAGTTGCATTTTAGCATTGTGGTCTGCAATTTTGGTTAAATTGTCAAATCTCATTAATGTTTTAGAAAATTTCAATAATAAGGAAACTTTAAGCACCATGTGTGTAGAAAATAATAGTATTATAACAGTATGATTTTGTTTATAGAAATATAAATGTGAAGTTATGAAGCAACCAAAATTGTAAATTCTGTAGGTTTGGACAACGTGAAAAAAAATTGTGAACCTAATAAAAAAGCCTTATCATGTGTTATATCAAGTGTCAACATTACCCATTTAGCTTAGAGCGGTGAAGAATGTGATCTTTTGCCCCACCTTACTGCAAAGTCAATGAAACAAGGGTTAGAGGATATAGCTGCCGACCATAATTAGTCATCTGCTCATCTACACTCTACACAGAATGTATGAATGAAGAACATTGTACAAGTGGACTTTTATTTTAGTGTGAAATTTACTAAATACATGAACGGATGGGTCATAAGATAAAATTGGCATGGACAAGATAGGAAATGTATGAGTCAGAGGACTCATAGGCAAAGACAAAAAGGTTGAAGGATGTATGGAAATGCCAGCCTGCCAGCTTATTGTCATTCCAGGGACTAGTCTGATTTCGACTAAAGTATTTAGACTTAAAGAACCTTATACTTCCTGTTGAATCAACTGAAAGTGGCCTATGATCGATGCAATCTTTGGTATCCCAACCGAAAATGACTATTGACTCCAGCTTAGAGTCTGTTTCAGGCACTTATATAGATAGTATTGCAGCTTGCTGAGGAATTTGATTCATCATGTCATATTGCCCATACATGCTAGCCTACTGCCAGATTAGGTCAATGACTGGTCTAGGATCTCTGATTGAACTAATATTTGAAAGGTTTTGGGTTTGTTTCGTTCATTGATATACTGCTTGAAATTCTTAGCATAATACAAGAGGCTGATTCAGCCCGACCATGATGTTAGCTTTTGAGAGTCACAAACTTCATGCCATGATATCCTTCAAAAAATGAATAGGGATCATCATAGCACGCAATGGGACATAGATGTGTTTCTATAGAATTCTTTCTTCTTTTCTTTGGTTTTCCTCCCGTTCTTTCTTACTTGGTTGTTTTTCTTTTGTTGGCTTGCGTTTACATGGTGGCATGCCGGACAATGAAGAAGGCACTTAGCTATCTGTCTGTCCTTTGATTTACATTGGTTGTGCTGCCTTTTCCTAATTTAGACTTCTGTAAACAGGCAGATCTGTTTTGATTAACAATATTCTATTCTTGATCATGGATAATTATCTTTAGTATCTATCTTTTTCGTCCATTGAAAAGAAGTTATGGCCTAATATTCTTCAGCTTCACCTTTTTAGGTCCTAGTCTCTCTTGACTATGGAGTTGCTGCCATGAAAATTGCAGATTAAATTATAACATGTTTAATTAATGGCTTTGACTTCACAATTCTATACTTGGCTATCTTAGAAAAGTACCCAGCCACTTCAGTTGTAAGTGAGTGGTAGTGACATGGCCATCTGTCTTTAATTTGTCTGCCTTTCTTCATTCTTTAATGTTTTTCATGTGTGACGTCACTGCAAATTTTCAGAGGAAGCCTTAGGTCACCATGGTCTCGAAGGAAAAGGAAACATGCACTTACAAAGCAGCAGTGGAACAATTTTTTCACATCGGATGGAAAGCTCCGTGATGGAGGGGTGAAATTTCTAAAGAAAGTTCGCAGTGGAGTAAGCTCCTACTATAATTTATCTTTTTTTTTATCACTTTATCTTAGTTGTCTTGACCCATTTTGACAAGGGTCGATTAAAGCAGTTGTTTTACACATGCTTCAGGGAATTGATCCTAGCATCAGGGCTGAAGTCTGGCCATTCCTTCTTGGAGTGTGAGATTCTAAACCATCTTTTTGAAATTTTTCTATGCAATGCTTCTGAAATTGTTATAAGATAAGGTTCAAATTGCATCTATTTTGGTATTTCCTAATTTTCATCTTCAAATTCTATGATTATATTATTGTCTAAACCATCTTTTCAAAATGTTTCTATGTGAAATTGTTGGTTTATTGATCTTCTGAGTGTTGTTAGTTGTCCATTAGGTTAATGGATAAAATATTCAGAGGATTTAATATGTAATCTCCCCCTTTAAGTGAAAACGAGTCACCGATCTATCTGAGTGATAGATATGTTCTTCTTGATGCGAAACTGGGTAAACACATCATTTTAACTGTCATCTGATACTATGTTTTCTCTTCGTTCTTCAAGCAAAACATTGAGTATACCTCATTGGTAGCATTTGCACCATTCTTGATGCTTCTGCTGCATTTAGTTTCTTTTATTTTATCTGTTTAAAATTAAATCTATCTATTTCAGCTAGTAGACATTTGTAAACCCTATAGTTTCTTTTAGCTTAATCTCTTAAATAATTATTAAACTTCTAGAAAAATAATCTTCTTTTGTTTGGTATGTGTGACTAGTTGTGCATCTTGTCAAAACCACATTACATTTCCAGCAAGCAGAGGCTTGCAACACGGTTTATATTTGCATAGTAAATTCCTAATTATTTTACGACTCTCAATAGCTTATTTATAGCTCATTCTTATTGGTATCATTATCATTCTTGTGTGATGTGTTATTATGTGGATCATGTAAAAATGGTCATAGCACTCTTAAGAAAGGTACTATAGTCCTTGTGCTAAGAAATGTTATATCTTTTTGAATGCTAATGCATTAGTATCCAAGAAGCTGCTTATTTCTGTCACTTTGATGCAATAAGCAGAATTATGTGTAGCAAATGGAAGTCATAATATTGGTCTCTGGGTGCTAAACATGATATTTTTGTTTGGACTCGAGGCATTTGACAAATTATTAATTATTATGTCTATCTAAGCACTAGAACTGATATAATCTTTATGTGGAGCTGCTTGAAGCATGTTATTAAATTTGAACTTTTTATTTTGTTGTGCAGATATGACCTAAAGAGCTCAAAGGTTGATAGAAAGGCCATTCAAGCACAAAAGAGGTACTTGGCCTTTTTGCTAAGTGAATTCAGTTCTTAATTCTCTTCCCTTGTTTTAATTTATGCATAACAAGATGGTCCCAAATTCCATTTCTTGAACTGTCAGTTTACCTTTCATCATTGTTCGACTTGGATATAGATATAAATCGATTAATACCTGCCAGCCTTGGAGGTGGCTCATTTTGTTTCTTTTCTGGTTTCATAACAGGAAAGAATACGAGAAACTAAGAAGAAGATGTCGGCAAATGGTAAATCGCAGCAATGATGGTGACGAGTTAAATGAAATAATCAAAACAAGTTATGCTGACAGTCCCAGCTTTATACAGGGACGTGATTCTGTTTGCTCCGAAGAGGTTTTTAGTGCCAGAGAATCCCTTTCCACTGAACGAGGTAGCCCGCGTAATGACACTTTGGAGCAGAGAGTGAGTGAGGAAACACCTGCCTCCGGGTTAGTTATACCGGATGAAGATGACAAAAGTGGAATAACCCATGCTGATGCATCTGCTGAGGATACAGAATCTTCTGAGAGCGAGTACTCCACTGATGAAGAACCTGGAAGCATTCTGATGTCCTCCAGGGCAGAAGGATGCATTGGAACTTATCCTAAGCATACCAAGATTGATTCAGTCATGGGCGAAGACATTAAATCTGATCGAAAAGCTGAGGATTTTGCAACATGGCAGCGTATCATGCGATTAGATGCCATCCGAGCTAATGCTGACTGGATAACGTATTCTCCAGCTCAAGCTGCAGTCTCCAAAGACAAGGCTTTCAAGTCTGCTATTGCTGTTGGTCTGAAAGACTATGACCACTTGGAGCCATGCCGAGTGTACCATGCGGCACGACTGGTTGCTGTACTAGAGGCATATGCACTCTACGATCCTGAAATAGGCTACTGCCAAGGAATGAGCGACCTTCTATCTCCCATACTTGCCATCGTGGAGGAGGATCATATGGCGTTTTGGTGCTTTGTAGGGTTTATGAGGAAAGCTAGACATAATTTCAGGCTTGATGAGGTGGGCATCAAGAGACAACTGAACATCGTCTCCAAGATCATCAAATCCAAGGATTCTCATCTCTATAGGCATCTGGAGAAGCTTCAAGCCGAGGACTGCTTCTTTGTGTACAGAATGGTTGTGGTTATGTTCCGAAGAGAGCTAACCTTTGAGCAGACTCTGTGCTTATGGGAGGTGATGTGGGCAGACCAGGCAGCAATTCGAGCAGGGATTGGGAAATCAGTATGGGGGAGGATAAGGCTACGTGTGCCTCCCACCGATGATCTGTTGCTCTACGCCATCGCAGCGTCGGTGCTGCAGAAGAGGAAGTTGATCATTGAGAGGTATAGCAGCATGGATGAAATCATAAGAGAGTGCAACAGCATGACAGGGCAACTGGATATCTGGAAGCTTTTGGATGATGCCCATGACTTGGTGGTGACCCTGCATGACAAAATTGAATGACCTCTGTTTCTCCATTTCTTCTCTGGTACCATTTGTACCATCTCTCATAGTCTTTAGTTATTTGCAGTTTCTAATTGAATTAATTCCTCCACAATGTCTTCTTCTGAGAGACATGAATAGTTGCTTCAGCCAGGCATACACTGATAGCCATGATTAGCAAAAACTGCTCAATTGCAACATTGGACTCACTCAAGTGGATTTACATATTGTACCAATGATTCAAAGAAACATTTCCCATTTTATAACCACCATTGTCCGGTACTGGTCTTTTCTTTTTTACCTTTAAAGTTTGCATAATTGATGAATAGAACATGTAGCAATCTTGTTCAAGATGGATAACATAGCTGGAAAGTTTGTGATTATATGTGTTAACTCAGAGCAAGATCAAAAAGAAGAAATCCAGATGCATGGGTTTCCATAAATTCTACTTTTTTGGGATTCAACATTAGAAAGCTGAAGAATATCCAGTACAAGAAAAACACACACAATCCAATTATGACAGATCTAGACGAGCACAACTTAACAAGGCAATGCATGCCATGACAGCAGAAACAATGCCAAAGTCTTGGACTGGTAAATGCTTTCATCCGCCATTAGACCAAACCTTCAGAGGGAAAGGATGATGATGGCAACACAGCTAATCCACCTTCGTGAAGTATCGGACGGCAAATGCTAACCCCAAGATCATTACGGGCAGAAGGAACTGTAATATTTTGATCACGAACTCCGGGGAGTTATCAGGCTTATGGATTACCTGCTGCTTCTGTACGTAAGAATCCTTTGTGGGAAGAGTCGAAGCATCTATCTTTCCAATGTAGTATTTATCCATCATTTCCCGGGCAGCATTACTGTGACCGATATCTTCGAAATCATTGGTTGCATCTTTCCCTGCAAAGACATGCTTATTTATTGGAGTATTTACAACAAGGAAATCCATGGGATTTGATCCGTTTAGTCACACCTTTTTTTTTTCTTTTGATGAAGTAGAGAATAATGAGCAAAGCAATAGAAGAGGATATTGCGATTACCAGATGCTGTTAGCAGAACGTCATCACCACCAGGATGCTCGTCCATAAATTGAGTGACATCATAAACCTGGAGAAGACATCAAGGGGAAAGAAAGGGTGATCATCTTGATATAGGACCATATTGTAACATTTCACATCACAAGAACATATCATTGTGCTTAAAGAGCATTGGTGAACATGCCATACAGATTCTCGAATTGTATTTGCTTCTGAGATACACTACCTGATTTAACAGTAAGCCATGAATGAGTTTGCAGATGACAACACTTCATTGCGGAAACACTGACCAAGCTAGTTATGAAACCATTGAAATATTGGCAAACATGGGAATATCAAAATTGATAATGTCTCACCGGTTGTCTCCAAAGAGACATTCTAGTGGTCCAGACAGTGTACACAATTAACAAATCAGGAGTTTGAGTTTTACTGTAAGCATTTGATAGGCATGCTATATGATACCTGAATGAAAAAAGTAAATTAGAATAAAACAAATACATTACATGTGAGCTTTCTCCATATAATCCTAATGAAACAAATACCCAGGGTCCATAACATGGGAAAAGATTCTTTAGATGAATTAGAACTTGCCAAAATTGGCTGTTCTGTTAGTAAGAGATGCTTGTCAGAATATAGAGGTGCTTGGTCCACGTGTAGAGGAAGAGAAAAGCTGAAAAAAGTAAATTAGAATGAAACAAATACATTACATGTGAGCTTTCTCCATATAATCCTAATGAAACAAATACCCAGGGTCCATAACATGTTTAAGATTCTTTAGATGAATTAAAACTTGCCAAAATTGGCTGTTCTGTTCATAAGAGATGTTTGTCAGAATATAGAGGTGCTTGGTCCACATGTTGAGGAAGAGAAAAGCTGAAAAATGTAAATTAGAATGAAACAAATACATTACATGTGAGGTTTCTCCATATAATCCTAATGAAACAAATACCCAGGGCCCATAACATGGTTAAGATTCTTTAGATGAATTAGAACTTGCCAAAAATGGCTGTCCTGTTCATAAGAGATGCTGGTCAGAATATAGAGGTGCTTGGTCCAAATGTAGAGGTCGGTAAGTTAGATACTAAATTATGAGAACACCATCCTATAATGTCAAAATGAAGCCATATAGAATGACGTGCTACTGATATATTAAAAATCATGAAACATGAGTTTGAATATACCACTTATTTGCATTGATTTTAATTGAAGTCACAAGCTCTAAACTATGAACTTAATACTACGACTTGATAAATGATTGTAACTGTAGCCAACCAGCCTCAGTAAGTGTGTTTTACCATAGATTATTAGACTGTTGTTAACAAGTAAATTATGCATATATTTCCAAAGCCCACAAAAAAAAAAAAGGAAATCTAACTGAACTAGCTCTATATGACATTCAACTGAAGAAATTACACCAGGGATCAATAAATTATTTTCGGAGTATATTTCTTTAAACTTTTAATGAACCTAAGACTTATTATCTATGTCATTTATGTCATCATCTTGATTACTTTTTGACATCTTGTTTTGCCTAATGCTGGTAATCATATATATTGCACTTTGCTAAGGAGAAAATCTTGTCTCACTTGCAGAAAAAAGGGTTTCTGCTTCTTACCATTAGCATATGCATCAAATATTTTTCTATTTTACTAACTAGGAGGCTAAACCATGACTTGGAACAAAAAGTAACATACCTACGTAAGCAAAACAAATAATGTAACATCTGAAAAAAAAAAAAACTTTAGAACATCTAAAAAGGACAAACTACACTTTGCCCATTTTGATCAAGAATGGCCAAAACAGCAACAACTTATGCTAGCAAGTGGATGAAGAATTGGAGGATTCTGAACTAAATATTCATGAATCTTCATTGTGCCATAAATGGGTTCTTTGCCGCTGAACTGAGACAAGAAGCACATCAGAAGGAAACACTAGAAGGCACAAAATGATTTTAATTCAAGTTATAAGATTCAGTTGAGATTAATTTATTATCAGCACCATTGTGTTATGTTCTTTGAGTCAAAATAGTAACTTGAGTTTATATTAGAAGCCTAGTATGCTCAAGTCTGAATTGATGTTTCATTCAAGATCATTAGTGGAATCAAACAGCTAAATGAAATGTTCTGTTACTGTCCATTGCACTGTAGCATGAAAAGCATCTGCTACAGTTACAAGAGGTAGAGTTCAGTAGATTTTTTTTGTCCCTCTAATTCTGGAGTCCTAGCAGGTTTGAGAAGTTTTGGTGGTCTGTGTACAAAAGGAGCAGTCACCCATTTATTGGAGAAGAAAATCAACAGACTGCCAGCCCTTCACTTTATTTATATATTCATTTATTTCTTCTCTTTTTTAATTCCACGAACCACTTAATCATTATACTGAATCAATCTTGGTGTGACTTTGCCAAATGCAAGGTCGATAAACCTATGTTGTTGCTAACAATTCCACTGGTACAAATTCTTTATCCTCAAAATGGAGACATTTTTGGTTGTGTATAGAACATTTTACAGAGAATTTTTTGCTTCTGAACTTTCAGGAACAGAACAGATTACGTGGAATCAATTCACCTTCTTCAGCTAATGATACTAATAAAGCTTGTTTTGAGAAACCTTTGAGAAGTAATTTGGTCTTAAAACAAGTAAATTCAACTCATATTCTTCAAATTTAAACATAAAAGGTTTAATCTTGACTATTATATTAAATGAAACAAGAAAAGCGATGCAATGCCTCTGTTACCTGTTCTTAGAAACAACATGAGAAACAGTGTCAAACGGCCATAAAGGCATAAACAAAGATCAAGAAACTGATTTTGAAGTGAAAAAGAAACTTTCTAAAACTTGTCAGATCGTTCTACAGAAGCGAGACCAACGGAAAGCAGCCGACGACTCCTATAAATCCGTCTCAAAAACATAGATAAAAAAACTTATATTTTCGAAGTCCAAAATTTATTTAAAGCTTTCAGATCGTTCCACAGATACAAAACCAAAACCCTCCCAATACTCCCTATTTCGAATCAAAATATCCGCTTTCACACAGGATCACCCGCGAGCGGCTTTCTACCTACAACCATGCATGGTAAGTCGATCTATAAACTACCAATCTCTTCACACAAAGAAAAGATAAAAGACCTTCCAATGAAAAGAAGATATGCGGTGAGCTTTACCTTTCCGGAGATGATCAGCCAGCAATCTTTCGCACCCTTGTGCTTGGCAACCTCATCGAAATGGTAGATTTTGGAATCGGCCATTTTCCCTGCTCCTGAAGCTGATTGAGATCTCCAAACACAAAAGAAAAAGATATAACAAGAGAAAGAATCTTACTTGAGAGGGGGAAGCTGAATCAGATTTAAGTCTACTCTCTCTCTCTATATCTTTCCTCCCAAACTCTAATGAGGGCCTCACTCCGCAGCCTTCCAAGCTCTACGTTCCCAACCATTTAGCGCATCCATTGATACAGAAAATTACCAATCTGTCCTTGATTTCTCGATACAATAACGGAGTTGAGATACCTAAATTAAATATTATAAATTAAGTTAATAATAATAAAACGAAATACATGGATCTTTTATGAACATAATATTAAAATATAATATAATATTCTTGCACTAATTATAAGTTTTTTGAAGGGTAATATAATATTAAAAGAATACAATTAGGATCAACCCCAACATAATATTCATTAGGAAACAAAGGGCAAAACAGACATTTGGGCACACAGGGGATAGGTAGGTGAGGTGGAGTCAAATAGGTATCTGCCAAAACATTGGGCTCGATTCCCTACGTGCATTTTAAAGTACCAAGAGACTCGATCTTGGCCACACATTAAGGCCACCTACCTACCTCTCTCTGTCACTGGCAGGCGAGTCGCGTCACCACCCGTCAGGCACCGGTAATCGCTGCAATTTTCCAATTCGTTTCTCTTTTTCCGTTTTCTAATGGGCGATTTCTCCACCCCTGCCCACCTCTGCCGCCGCCCGTTGTCGCCCGCCGTCCACGAGGCACGAGGGGATGAGAGGGGAGGAGGGAAAGGAATGGGAGGAACGGCAGGAGGGGGGAGGGAAGGGAAGGGAAGGGTGCCAACCTCCGCAGCCGTCGCTCGCCGTCCATCCATCGCCGTCGCCCGCCGGGAAGGACGGGAGGAGGGAAGGGAAGGGGAGGAGGAGGAGGAGATGGCGGGCTACGGGGAAGGAGGGGAGAGGAGGAGGAGGAGAAGAGGGCGGGCGGCAGCGCGGCAGAGGCGACCGCGGTGGAAGAGGGGTGGAGGAGGGGGTAATTTGGGTAGTTTCAGAATTAGGGATATGATTTGAGAAAAAGTAAGGATATGTTTTAGAAAAATAATCTTTTTTGATTCTTTGCTTCGAGAATTCGATCCCGTGATGGAATTAGTGCAATTAAGTCAAAATGGTTGACTTTCGCCAAATATTTTTTGGAGTTATATAAGAAAATAATAATAAAAGTCGAGGTCTTGATATTAGAGTCAACATCGGAGACGTTTGAGAATCCAATATTTGATCCTCGCTGCCGCTTTCTTTTTTCCTTTGTTCAGTTTGAGTTTGTGCTCTAAAGTTCAACGAGTTGATGCAGGAAGATGTTATTTATGAGAAAATTTTGTAGTAAGTCAACCGTTTTAAAAGATATTTCATAATGCATAGTAAAGAAACGAGTGGTTTGTGAAATTAATATACGAAAATATTTTTTTGTAAACTCACAAAATTGTTTCGATTACGGTAATTGATTGAAATCTAAAAGTTTAACGTTCGGAGATGTTTACTTGTGTTTTATAATAAAAAAATGAGGCTAAATTTTTTTAAAAAATTATGTTTCAAGTTTAAAAAATATTTGCGAAGCGTTTTTTGGTTACGTGAAAAGATCTTTTTACTTTTAATAAATTTATAAAATTACTTTTTTCTTGAATATGTCGTTGCCTCATGGGCTCGTCTTTTTGCTCACAATCTTTACTATCCTCCTTTGCCTTATGATTGATTGATTACCCCCTTTCCTTATAGCTCTTACAAAGAGTTTATCGTTGTTATTGGTTATGGAGCGACTATGTAACCTCTTTGCATCCCTTCCTCGCTAACGTGATCTTCTCACACTCTTTTCTCATTATCGATCGTAGACGAGAAAGGAGGGGGGCCTATGGCCTCCATTGTTGGTTATAGAGGGGCCATAAAGGCTAAGTATTTATTACGAGTTTGACGAGAGCCATTATACCTTTATTGCTAGACGAGTCCGACAAAAAGGGGCCGGGCAATCGACATGACGAAAAAGGGCAATTAACGAGGTACAATGCGACGATTATTTTGAAAAGAAAAAAAAATATCCAATGAGATTTTTGAAACTTGGGACTCTATATCATGTTTTTCAAACTTAGGGTTTTTTTAAAAAAATATCCAAAAAAATAATCAAATGTGTTTTTGATTTTTTTTTTCCATCTTTAATGCATGCATATTTAACGAATTTGAAATAATTTCAAAAAACCTCTAATAAAGGCATTTGGTTACTTTATCTTTTTGTTTTGTTTCATTTGATCCTAACTCAAACAATGGTTCATATCAAGTTACAACCATTTATTAATCTTGCTGAATTTAAACCACTAATATTCATGGTAAATCGAATTTGTTGCGTCTGAACCGCTAGGGTTTAGACTTCACTGTGGTTTTGGAACTGACGATTCCATGGAAAATGGAATCACAACCGGAGCTGTTCCAAAAACCGTTAGTTATGGAGATGGATCACATTATGCTCCTTACGCGCGGCTCTTCTCCCTCAGTCAAGTCTTTATCCGCCGTTAACACCAACACCCATGGACACAATAGTTCCTCCATGCTCGGCGCCTGCTCCATTTGCAGGATCACCGATGGGTTGCTTAGGTTCGTCATCCCCAAGCACAGTAACATCCGAAAGCTATCAATCCTCTCCCCCAACATGAGATCTTATGAACCCAACGGCTCCATCCTTAGAAGAATGGGTGGAGCAACACTAGCCCCTAGATGGCCCAACAACGGCTCCGGTGGAGGCCACACCGCTACCCTGGAGTTTCATGGGTGGTTCGGTCTCGCTAATAGTCTGTTTTCCGTTCTGGTGCCGGTCCGGCGGCTATTTCTGCGTTAGCCCATGAAATGCCGAGCGTGCCCGCGTCCTCCTCGTGTCTACGGATCTCGTCTCCTTACTCCGAGACCGCGAACCCTAATCCTTTTCCTCCCTCAATTTGTGGAGCCGGAGTGAAAGAACGGCAGGTCTCGCCATTCCCGGACGAACGGGCTCCCGAATCAATGGAGTCCCTGGCGCCACGCAAGGAAACGTGGATCAGGGCGGAGCGAGAGGGCAACGACGCCCTGCCCGTTGCCGAGGCTGGTGACTTGGGCGACCGCTCCTTCGCGACGAGTGAGCCTGCGAGCGATTTGAAGGAAGAGGTGAAAGGGTTTGTTTATGGGAGATCCGGTGGGGTGGACGGTTCTGGACTCGATGGCAGCAGGTTGTTTTTTCCCTCCGTTATTTCTTTCTGGAGAATCTTGATTTGGAAGGAACTTATCGTGGCTAGTTTTCCTTTCTTTGTTTGGTCGAGCTTTTCATCAATGCTTCATTTGCTACGATCGTCCAGATTAATTACATAAATTGGTATCCCTATTTGTTGTTCTTTCCGATCAACTTCACTGGATAACCTATTTCTTGAATTCTTTAATCTATGTTGTCAAAATTAAATTCTTGGCTGTCCAATATCCTAATACCTACGGGTTGCTCAGTTAAGATGATAACAGGCTAGCTTTGCTTTAGAACAATTGATACTCATCGTATTTATATATTTGTTGGCTTATCCTCTTAACCATTTTCACTTTGTTTAATAAATAATTGCAGTGGCAAGATCATGTGATTATGTACTCTCTAGAAATGCATCTCTTCAAATTCATTTAAGAAAACAAACAAGAAACTTTCATATCTTTATTAGGTCTTTCTCCATGTATACTTTGGCTCTATCCTTTTAATAATTTAAAGTTCCATACACTCTGTTTTCTAGCTAATGATTTGTAAGTTTTGAATATGTTCTTATGCTTAGATGGAAAAGGTATGTTAATATGCTTTATATGTACATATGTATATGTACATATACATATGAATATGTATATGTATATACATATAAATACACACGCACATATATGAATATGTAGATGTATATATATATGCATGTACGTATATTAACATTTTATCTTATCTTCATCAACTGGACATTTTTTTGTCATCTTATCTTGACTCAGCTGGAATGATGCTTCTACACATCTAGTCAACAATGTGCCTGAAACAGACAAGGGAGTTCATTTCTCCCAACCATTTCTTGTTTTTGGTGCAAACAAGTATGCCTCTGTCTACTTATATACTTTCCCTTAGCAGAGTTAAAATCACATTTTCAGAGATTTTTTGTTCTTGCATATTGGATTGATATTATCGAACCTGTATATATACATATATTTTGTATATAACATATTTTATTCCCACTATCATCCCAAAAGAAATAGTAAAAGAAGTAAAAGAACAATATTTGGGCAGCCCATATGGTCCAACCAGAAAGAGGCACCAAAGTGAATGATGAGGCGGCAGCAATGATCCAATAAGCTAATGAAATCTGTATTGGACAGGTACTATAACAATTTAGTAGTATTGTATGTGGCACTTCTGTTTGTTCCTCAATTATATTGGAAGTTGTTAATCCTTCTTATTTGTATAACTCTCTTGATTATCAATTGGGCTAGTTTCCTGCAAATGATATTAACTTCTAAAGAGATTACTTCTAAATATGACTATTACAAATAGTTGTTATAAACAAAATGTCTTGATCATTTCTATTATTTGAGCAAGTTTTTTTATCTGCAAGCGCCACATGAATCTGAATCTGTGTGACAAAATCAGGCTTAGATCACTATATTCTTCTTATGATAGCTGTAATTTATTGTTATCTCACTATTTCCAGGTGATGATGGCTGACAAGCAGTCAACGGAAAGTCCTGACAGGCTACGAGGATCTGCACGAATATATAGATCATCAATTAAAATTGATGTGCCTAATATTGTCTCCGTGTCAGCATATGTGGACCTAACTCTACCAGGAAGTGCTGGCCTCTGTGTACACACAATTCATCATCCTATTTACTTGGTAAAAATCCTTCGGCCCAAACATGAAGATCAAAAATAGGATCTTTTATTATTTTTCATGTTCTAGTTTATCTGTCCTTGTGACTGTCAGAATTAGTATATCATTCCAGAAATAGAAATTTAGTTATTTTCATAAAATGTTTGAGATGATTTACAATTTCACATCACACTTCCACTTTAGGATTCATCTATGACAAGAATTATCGTTTTGTTCTGGGCACCACACAATTTCATGCCATTCCGATTTGCTTGCTGATTGTCTGGCATAAGTCGAAATTTGGAGTTGCACATATGTTGGCACCTATGAGATAGATTGACATAGCATGTGCAGATGCTACATGGGTACAGCATCGAACAACTTGGTAATTGTTGATCTCTACTTATTAGGACTATGAATGAGCCTCGGTGGTTGTTGTTCCTTAAGTAAACCCTACTGGATAATCTAACCTTTGGAACCCAAGCTTGACACCGAACTTGTGATTACAAGATTCATATTTAAAATTTATATCATGTTGTGTTGTTACAGTATTAGTTCGGTGCCAGCCTTATGCATTTATCTTGTATCGCTGAGATGCAGCATGAGTTGAAGAAAAGCCCTGCCACTCAAGACTCCCCAGATCAAAAAAATTCCAGTTATCTCATTAGCGTACAACTGGGAGGCAACCATTTGAAGGAAAATTTTCAGAACCTTGAGATAGTGCCATATTGTGTTGATCTTTTGATATGATCTCCATTTACATTCCCTATCAAGCTCAGCAATACAAAGCTTGTGTATTTTTTGGTTCATCAAGCAGACCATTGTTTTCTGTTGACAATCTAAATTCTCATGTTGTGCTCCTCCAGGTTGCTGACTCATGGTAGTAGTCTCTGGAGGGATGGGTGGATGCTATTCGCCTTGTCTGCACCATTTTTACCCAACGAAAGAGTGATATTCTTGCCAGCATCCTAACTGGTTGACCACCCGTATTTGAGAATTTGTTCTCAAGACATCATGTTATATAACCTGATGAATTCCAAGTATCCGAATACGTATATAGCATCTCCTCATGTCATTTGGTTGTTAGTTACCCATATGAACAAGAGCAGTAGTTTATTTCTCCGAAAGTTCAAGCCAAGTTTACCACAGATATCAGTTTATCCCCATGTCATTTCTGTAGTTGCTGATGCAAACACTGTGAACTTGTCGACTAGTGGCTTCGGTGTCTCTGTGAAAATACTATCTTATCTTACCATTCATGTTTGGCTGGACATTATCCAAAACTGGGCCACCAAAATGATAGAAATATTTATGTTTTTTTTTTAACATCCCAGGTCTCAATCTTTAATCATGTTGAAAGGGAGAGCGTTGCAGGTATGTTCCCTCAGTCACACCCACTGTTCTATTCACCCCCAAAATAAATGTTCGTGAACAGGATGTGCTATTTTTTTGCAGCCCGGCTACACCAATGGAACCAAATTATGTACAGCATGTATTGGCGTCGGCAGGTCAAATCATTGCAGCAATAAATAATTGGCAGAATGCATGGGAGCCGCAGAGCGCGCCCGCAATGGCGTTATGGAATCATCAGGTGAAAGAAAGAAAGAACAGGTGATTGGATTTGTCATGTTATGGGCATCTTTGTATGAAAAGATTGAAGCTGGGGAAAAGAAGAGGAGCACGTTGGACCGCCAAAAGTTTCAAGGTCTTTGCTAATCATTGCCGCTGATACTGGTAAGGGAACTCTTCTTTGTCTTTATCGTCATTTTTGATATCGTTCAGATTAATTGATCTTTAATCAGACTGTTAAGTATGATTAAGAATAGTTTTGTGAGTGGTTGTTCGATTTTTTTTTTTTTTTGTGAATTTGATTGTTTAGGGTGACAGCCAAAAGCTTTTGGATGAAGTTGATCCATACACACTCTTCCTTTTTTCTCCTCGTCAAATTTGCTGGCTCGGGGCTCGACCGGGACAGGTGATCCTCAGATTAATAGTGTGCAGGATTCCCCTGACATGTCGCGTCCGCTGCTCCTCCGGACCATCCTAACTTCACGCTGTGCCGGCACCCCTCCATATAGTCCGGAGGCGCGCGCAGTCGGGGGAGATGAGCGGGGCCGCCGGAGGATGGAAGATGCCGCCTCTGCGTCTGTTGCGCAGCCGTCCTCAGCGACCTCCTTCCTCCGCCTCCTGGGCCTCCTCAAGCTGCCCGACGCCGACCCCGATCCCGACCCCTTCCCGACTCGCCACCTCGAGCTCGACGAGAGCGACGTGGTTTGGTCATCCCCCTCCGAAGAGCTCTCCTCCTCGCCCTCCCCGTCCTCCTACGACGACCGTGATTCCGTCGATTGCTTCTCCTCCCCGTCGCCTGGTCTCGTCCGGAGCTCTGTTCCGGGTTCCTCCTTCTCGCCCTTTGGCCGATTCCGCCGCCGGCCAGCGCCGGAAAGGTTCGGCCTTTCCGCCGCCCTGGTGGAGGACCGGCGTCCCCTGGTTCTTCAGCGATGCACAACCGAGAGCACCACGCGGCCGGTAGAGATGCCGGAAGGGAGGGCAGTGGAGGCTTTGGTGGCCGGGAGGGTGGCCCACCATCAGTCAGCGCCGGTTAACGTCCCTGTGTGGCCGAGGTGGAGGAGCGAGCGGAAAGATGATGTCTTGGATGGATTGGACGAAGAGGAAGGACGGGAGGACGAGGAGGAGGAGATGGTGCCGCCTCATGTGATCGTGGCGAGATCGCACGTGATGACGTTCTCGGTGTTCGAGGGCGTGGGGAGGACCCTCAAAGGGAGGGATCTCCGGCGGGTGAGGAATGCCGTGCTGCAGAAGACCGGCTTCCTCGACGTGTAAAAGGCCAAAAGCCACCGCCTTCCCTCCCTCTGCTTCATTTCTTTTAAGTTCCTTGTTTGTGTGTGCACGTTCTTCCTGTTCATATAAGGAATAACCAGTTGAAATGTGGCTCTTTTTTGTGGTCCATGACTGTTCAAGTGTAGTTACAGGTTTATGGATCCCAAGAATTCTCATGATGTCAATTTGCTTTGCCTTTATTTGTTTCCCTCAACTTGTACACATACTTATTGTTGGTGGGTTGAAAGATTTAGTATAGTTTTCTCTGTCTTCCTAGTAGCAGATAATTTTGGTTACTCGTTTGCTAGATGTTTAATCTTTTCTATATGGTTCATATATTCCTTCCCTCTTTCCCTTCATTTGGTCCAGAAAATGACACTTTTGAGCAGCCAATTCCAGATATTGGTTGGAGAGTTGAAACATAGGTGGTAGAATCACAAATAAGATTGCAGGCTTCATGTTCTTCAAATAGTTCTATTGATTTGATCAGTTTGGCTGTCAGTGTAGAAAAGCTGAACCCTTTAGTGTGGTTCATTCTTTATCTTTTGAGGTTGTGGCCTTTTCTGCTCCACCTCTTCTTCTCTCAGCTCAACTTGTGATCCATATAGCCTTCTCATGCTGACATCCAAATCAGAAAGAAACATATCATGTTTCAAGTTGTCTCCAATAATTCTGCCTCGAATGAATCTTTCTATTAAGAAGCAGAAAAGGTTGATTTTTTTGGTTTTAGCTTATCACCTACGATTTCCATGCTCTGCATCTAACACGATCTCTTTTGCAGATGTAAACACATGCCACCACCTTTTATTCATTTCTCTCAGCCACAATTCTGTCATCAATGGCTTTATCTGAAAGAAAGTGAGCTGGTACTGTATTTGCTTGCATAGAAGAAATTTTGGTAGATGATGATGGCTTTGGAATAACTCGAAGAAAGATAAAAAGAAGAAAGATAAAAATGCTACTGCAGAAAGTCTAGGAGTTTTCTCCTCTCTCTCAATGTGAGAGTTGTTCAAAGGACCAAAAAGAGAACATAACCTGATGAATGAAACAGGTATGCTGTTGCATCAATTTATTGCCAAATGTTCATCTAATTCGATTCTTACATTTTTGTCTCTCAGGATACTTGTTGTTGAATTGGTGGAACTGTTATGAAAATAATTGAGGAAAAAGAAAAAGAAAAATAGGTAGAGGAAGATGTTGTCAAGTATTACCTACCGACCTACCTATGATTAGAAGATCAATTGTGCACTAATGTTAAAGCATGTAGCCATGCATGCATCCTGTATGTAGGCTCTTATCAAATACGGGATACGAAGAAAAAGATTATTTTTATGACTCGAATTTTAATTCTTCATATTACAGACGAGCAATGTTTCTAATAAGATTTGATTTCTTAGATCGTAATATTGTTCGAACATGTAAAATCTAAAATTACTGCTGATTGCTTTCTCTGCCTCTTTTTCTGACCTTTTGCCGATGATATATTAGCGTCGATCCAACGTGAATCGATCGTGTCGGGTTTGACCAAACCCTAAAGCAAAGAACTCCACAGTGTAGACCAAGTGACGTGGAATTGGGACCGTAACAGCGGTCGGCTTAATATCTATCAGTCTAAGATCAACGGCTAACGTCATCTTTTCGCCCCACCATTACCGTATCTTTTAAGATGGCAATAAATGGCAACGGTCGGCTGCTCACAACGGTCACATTTTCCTTCAAATTTTGAGCTGTTTTGGGACCGAAATGGCGGAAAGAAGACAAAACGGGCAAAAAGAGAACACAAAAGCAAAGAAACTCTATAGTCTCTCCTCCTCTCCCTTCTCCCCGGTCCACGATTCTTGGAGGTATGCGCGACCGAAGCCCTAGCCACGAAGCCTAACTCCCAGATCTTTCTCCCCTCTCCTTTGTTTGCGGGTCCAAGATTCGGAGGTGGAGAAGACCCCGTCACCTTTGCTCGAACCGGTGATGGACGACTCCTTCGATTCGATGGTGTTGGTCTCGGGGCCCAAGTTCGTTCTTTGGGGGCTCGGCCAAATGGCGTTCGAAGGTCATCTTTTTCTTGATCTTTTTTTTACTTCGATTTGGAATGGGGGTCGTTGCTGTTTTTTGGTTGGGAAACTAGGGTTTTGTCATATTTCTTCGAGGAATTAGGGTGATTTTGTTTGATCGCTCAACTTGGATCTCCTGTTACTATGGTCGACTAAGAAACGTCCGTTTCTTGTGCTGTGATCCCTATTATGAAGGCTCAGTAATTCCCTTTTTATATAGCTTTAGGATTTTGGGTTGTTTGAAGTGGATATCACTATCATGCGTGCTTTAATTTTTCTCAATGTTGAATTTCTTTGTATATTCTTTCATGGTTGGACTGCATTTCGAGTTCTTTATTTCTTTTTCTTGTATTGTCTTTACATTACACTTGAATTAGAGCTAATATTTGATACCCTGATGTTCTGCCGTAATAGACGAATTGTTACGTGTGATTTATCTGAGCTATAATTCACTTTTTTTTTTGCTGAAAAAAATGAGATTTTTTTTGCTGCTTCTGATTCTTTTCATGCTTATGCTACACCAGATGATGTTGTAATGTTTGTTAATGCGGGAGGCCACGAGACACAAGGCCAAGATTCCCGTGTGAGGATTGATGGCGATTCTTGCTTTCAAGGTGGAGATGTAATAGAGACCAACGAGATGATAATAGAAGGTGGCGACTGCCCATCTCTTTATCAGTCTGCGCGGTATGGAGACTTCTGCTACAAGTTTGATAGTCTTGCTCCTGGGGACTATTTCATGGACTTGCATTTCGCGGAGATCGTCAATACAAATGGTCCTAAAGGAATTAGGGTGTTCAATGTATTTGTGCAAGAAGAGAAGGCAAGATATAAATCTTTAACCTTTAATATTATTCTGCATAGATGTGTGGTTTCTGAGAGATTCTTGTCTGTGTTAGAATTGCAGATATTGTCTGGGCTTGATATATTTGCTGTTGTTGGAGCTAATAAGCCACTGCAGCTAGTTGATCTCAGAGTTTCTGTGGTGGATGATGGGAATATTTTGGTAAGATTTGAGGGACTTAGTGGGACTCCAACAGTTTGTGGGATTTGCATCAGAAAAGCACCAGCCTTATCAGGTACAGTCGATATATGTTCGTGAATCAGTTCCTTCCTTTTCTTTTTTTTTTTGTCTCTTTTAACTTCTGTGGACTCTTTGTAGCAGACTTGGCGAAACCTGAACATCTTACATGTATCAAATGTGCCACTGAGATAGAGGTTTCTCCACTTAAGGTCAGGGAACAAAGGTTTTATTAGAATTTTTCATCTTCATAATAGGGAGTTGATGTTTGTCACTGAGATCAATTCATTTTACTATTGCAGAATAAATTTCAAAATAGAAACATTGCTCAGTACGAGAAGAAAATACAGGAGCTAACCAGTGAATGTAAAATGAAATCTGATGAGTGTTATGAAGCTTGGATGTCACTGACAGATGCAAATGAGCAGCTACGAAGGCTGAACATTGAGCTTGACAATAAGCTCTTCCAAAATGAAACACTTGGTAAGAAGCTAACTTGTCTTTGGAATTATATCCTTAAACAAATTTGCTAATTTTTCTTGCTCCTAGAACAAAATCTCGAAAGAGAGATGGAGAAATTTAGAGATACCTCTGAAAGGTACAAGAATGATAAGAAGGTTTGGTCTGCTGCAATCGCTAATCTGGAAAAAAAGATTAAGGTACAGATGCATCAGATCTGATAGTACATCAATGAACTTTTGACAAGTAAATATAGAGCTCATTTTAAAGCGAATTTGCTCATGGTACAACCCTACTTCCTACATCAGGCCATAAAAGAAGAGTACACTCAACTTTCTCAAGATGCACATGATTGTGCCAACTCAATTCCAAATCTGAATAAGATGACCATTGCGGTTCAGGCCCTAGGTATGTTTCCACAATTATATCTGACTTGACATACCCAGCAATCACCACACAGAAAGTTTCTTACAAAGATTTATATACATAGTTGCACAAACTGAAGATCTTAAATTGAAGTACAGCGAGGAGATAGCCAAGAGAAAAAAGCTATATAACCAAATCCAGGAGGCAAAAGGTACACACATCTCTTTCTCATTTATTGACTTATCTGTCTCACTCTATTGTTTGCATAATAAAAGCTTTTTTAATTATCTCAGGGAATATCAGGGTGTTCTGTAGGTGTCGCCCTTTGAGTAAGCAGGAGGTTTCAACTGGTCACAATGCTGTTGTAGATTTTGATGCAGCAAAGGATGGTGAAATTGGAATTATGAATGGTGGAGCGACAAAAAAAAGCTTCAAGTTTGATCGGGTCTATACTCCAAAGGATAATCAAGGTATTCATAGAAAAAAAATCTATTTTTTTACCAATAAAAGAATCAACAACCTCTGCAAAAATAACTTGAACTCAGATTTATACTTAGAGTGAACTTGATGAAATAAAGATGAATTGTATTCATAGAAAAAAAAACTATTTTTTTACTGATAAAAGAATCGACAACCTCTGCAAAAATAACTTGAACTCAGATTTATAATTAGAGTGAACTTGATGAAATAAAGATGAATTGCATTAAGATGATAACAGGAGTACTTCATTGTACTTAACTCTAGCACATAAGATAATGCACCGAAATCTAAAGTATGTATTTGTAAACAAACATTTTACAAGTTAGTAACAGAAGGAAATTAAATAAAGGAAAGTGTTAAAGGATCCTGATTACATGGTGTACACTGTTCTTAGGGTGGTCTTGTCCTGATTTGACTCTGCCATGCGAGGAGACAAAATGATACAAATAGATAGATTATGATCAATGTGTAATTGTATTGGCACAACCAGATTGTTTCCTGATGCTGCTGGAATAATCTTCTCATGATGAGCAGCTGACGTTTACGCGGATGCTTCACCCTTGGTCACATCAGTCCTTGATGGCTACAACGTGTGCATATTTGCATATGGGCAGACTGGAACAGGGAAGACTTTCACAATGGAAGGAACTGAGCAAAATAGAGGAGTTAATTACAGAACGCTGGAGGAGTTGTTTAAAATAGCTGAGGAACGGAATGAGACATATTCCTATAACCTTTCTGTGAGTGTTCTGGAGGTGTACAATGAGCAAATCAGAGACCTGTTGGCAACATCTCCATCAACAAAAAAGTACAACTCATTTCTGAGAGTCTAAATAACTGGTTTGTGCATGGGTTCCTCAAATGCTTACTTACTTTTGC